ACGGTCGATTTGCAGTTCATATAATCGCTGACCGCTGGCCATAGCAGTCGCAACATCATTGTCATACTCTGTTTAAAAATTTGTTTTATATTCAAGCGGAATTGGACATTTGGTTTTAAATATTTTTAAATTAACGAATTCAATTAAAATGTACATAATATTGATGAAATAATATAGCGTCCATAACTATTATATTAATGTTTCGCGAGGAAGTAAAATTAATTTCATAGTTTTAAATTGATATACGCTCTTTCAATATCATAATATTATCCACAGATTATATTATTATGGATTGGTTTTGGATAGATTAGCGATAATCAATCTAGTATACACCATTCGTAATATATAGGTAACTGCAAAACTGACATAATATACCAGCTGTCACTACACGAACTATATCACATCACCTCAAGTAAATACAGACAAGAATTATTTTAAGGACCGTGAAAACTGAAAACTATTGGTGACCGAAGCATTATTTATTGCTGCAGTTATCGAGTAAAGAGGATAGGTATCAATCACTATTTGTGTCATTATGAAAAAATAAGCGAAACAACGAATATAAAGCTCAAACAGTTTGAATGACACTTATTTACTTATTATTTTGAGAAGATCGATTACAATGTTTGAGATTTCTGAAAGAAAATATATTTATCATGAGTCTTGTATGCGTATCAAGATCACGAGCAGTCTTCGGTAAACAATATTTTTCGAGGGCTTAATCACGTTGTAAAAGTTAAAAGCTTTCCGAGAAAATTTGAGTGATACGAGGATTTTGCTATAAAAAGTATTCTCTCTTCTCGCCAGTGTAATGTTTCAGTCTCGTGACGTTTTAAAATACTCCTATACTCACACATAATATTAAATTGTGCGTGTGTGTATTTTTAGTTGAGTAGGTACTAAAATATAATAATATATATCAATGTATATGTACGTACAGAGAAGAGAAAACTCATATCTTGTGCATGTGAAACGACCATGCGGAGAACAGTATCGATCTTAAGGCAAATCGTTAATATAATATAGGTATACGACAAAGGAACTTCACGTTCAAACGAAAATTAAATCCAATTAGCCGCTTTCGAATATTATATTATATTATATCTGCAGTGTAACCGGTATGTAGATACAACTTGCACAACTATCGACTTTCACGTACCCTAATAATAATATACAATATCCAAATATCGGTATCATTATAGTTGTATTATTTGAGCTCATTTTTTTTATGAAAACATAAATTTTTTGTGTCCACAAAGTGGATTTTTAATGTATACTTATATAGTGACTCACTCTCGTTCTGGCCCCAAAATATATATTTACGGTAACATTTGAAATTTTACAATGTACGCATTAATGTCATGAAGATATTATAGCAATATTATTGTACTTGCATCGCAATTGCATTTGAATGTGTTTGTATGTAAATAAACGTCTGGCCTCGCACTATAAATTAAATTGAACCAAACAAATTGGTTGATATTTTTTGTTCTACTCTGTATTGTTTTATTTTATAATTTGTATTTATTGATTCAATCAAGTAGTGTACATTGATATTTATTGTATCGTAACGATTTGTCATGGAGGTCAAAACTCAAAGCACACATTATTGTTAAACTAATACTCTCATCACTCCTTTTAGAATCTAATAAGGAATAGCGTGCCTTATAGTAAAAAAACCATAAGTAGTGCAACAAATCACGTTGTTACAATTGTTAATATTTTGTAAAAATGCACATAATAAAAAAAACCTTGCGTTTTTCTTCTTCACGTAAACAATTGAATAACAAATTGATTATCTTGAAATAATATTCTAAATACAAATTGCAGTGTAGGCTTGTGCTCAGTGATGGATCCAGAAAAAGAACAAACTTGACGTACTTACGTCCCTCCCCGCATTATGTTTTTTCTGTTCTTGCATCGTTTCCTCCTGTGCTGGTTTTAAGCTCACGATACTCATAATATTTCCATGGGGCTCCTACGCAAATTGGTCGTAAACAGTGTTAGACCACATTTTTAATATAAAGTTGTCCAGTATATTTATATAGAACATGAGTTATTATGCATTTACGTTTTATATTACAGTGATGGATTCGATATCGCATACATCTCAATAACGAGGTAAATTCGTAGTGTACTTTTGAAACTAATATTAATTATTATGCAAGTATCATATGTTTCTAAATATATACAATATATATATATATAAATATATAAATATGTATAATGGTCAGGGGGGGGGGGGGTAGGAATAAATGCATACATCAGTTATAAGTACTAGTTACATCATAAGAGTGTATATATCATGTAAAAATAATGTTCCAAATTGGTTTGCTCTCCTCCCTTAAGAAAAAAATTGAACCCCCTATCCACCCCTGGCGTACTTATATTCTACGTACTCATATATTTCGAGTGCAGCATTTTAATATTATACAACTACGGACGATTTCGGTCGTCTCAAGTTTCTTCGTGTCGGACGTCTCCCACTATCCGACGTAACTGTTTACCCTTAAAGCAAACGTACCTACCTCTGACAGGAGACGGAAAGCGGACGACGAACGATGACGTCGGGAGTATAGAAGAGGGGCGTCGTCCACCCACATGATATACGTGCTGAAAAATGACGGCTTAATATACATTGATAAGGTGCCGGGATAAAGGCCGCAGCGTCGTCGTCGTAACAGGATTAATGGAGACGGTCCTCTCGTATATACTCGTATAATACACTCGTTCAGTGTTCGCGGGACATATACGACAAGCAAAAATAAGTACGTGATGCGAATTTTTTTTCACCCCGACAAATTGCCCGATAACGCACACTGTGCATCGGTCTAAAAGTGCACGCGCATTGTGCCAGCCGATGGTCGTACTACATTATATAATAAATATATAATAAATACATACACATATGTATTATATATACGTGTATTCGCGTAATATACATCACTCCACATGTCCGGCGGGATAAGTCTGATGTATATCTCCGTGACAAGCAGAAAATTGGAGAAACGTCGCGGGCGATTTATGTCTTTTAATAAACGATCCGTTCCCGGCGCAGTGCATTATCATAATAATAACTCGCCGCGGTCGGACGATGCCGCAGTATAAACCGCCTGACATTGCATACAATAATATTATCACAATCATATAACATATTATAACACACGCGCGAAAATAATATATAAGTATATATATATATATATAGTAATATATAATATTGCAATAGAGAAATAGTAGCAGGTCGAGGTACAAAAAAAAAGTTAACAGTTATATGATATAATTTAATATATTTTAGTCATTAAATAAAAACTGTTGACAAACTTGCAATACGCTGAAACATTTTAATTTTTAATAAATAAAAAAAAAATATATATATATATTTTACTAATAATTAGTTTGATTCGATTTATTCCAATGTGCAATGTGTTGATAAACTTGAATCATCGGATCTTGATATTATGCTGAAAACAAAATTTATTTAAGTATTACAAAATATATTTTATTATAATTCATATTTTTTTATAAATTATTTGTCCTCAACTGTTAAACTGTTATATTATACAACCAATGTTTTTTTTAAGCGTTCACCTATTTCAGTCTTCTATACATTTGACTAATTATAATACACGCGAAGAATAAAATATTATGGATCACCTATTTGGGACGAATTTGTCACATTCTTTTATTTTATTAAATTAAAGGTAGTTTTCTGTAAACCTAATAGATAAGGTTGAGTATAAAATAAAGTACAAAATACAAATTTATATTAAATAATGTAAATAACTATGTTGATGTTTTGATATTTTAGTAACCAAGTAAATAATATTACTTTAGTAAATTTGTATAATATTTTATTATATCACAAATAAAATGTTTTTAATAATGTGTTCCTTAAATGTTGACAGCACAAATCGTCCTGTGTATTTAATTTTAATTTTTAACATCAAATTGGTTCCCATTAAGAATGGCCTGACATTATTGCTTTATATTAATTATCTTGGATACATCACATATAAGTCAGATTGGTTTACCAACTACTTAGGGAAACTCTAGCGTACAGTAACTTTTATCGTTTTCTCGTGATGCCATTATATATCTGGACACAAGCTGACACCAGGATGTCTAAAAAGGATTTTGGATTATTCCTAGAACATAATAGGACTTCTAATTTGTGTGAAACGATATATGCCTGGAAAGGTAATACTTTTAGTATTTTTATGAATGATCAAATACGATTTTTTTTAAATAAGTTATATATTTGAATGAGAACAGCTTGAGACTTTGAGGGAAACATATGCCTATTTTATATTATACTAAATATTAGTACTGTTTTAATAAAGTAAAACGAACAAAAATCTTTTCACGTATTTTTATTGAAAAAGTTTTGAAGTATTTATTTTTTCAAAGGTTAATACATTCATTTTCTCGACAATTTTTGTGTCAGCAGAATATATTTGTAAAAATGTCAAACGATAGTGTACACAATTTTGTTCATATAGTTAATTAGTTATAACTTATAAGTTATAAGTAGATGTTTTAAGTTTTGATGAGCGAAGTGGAGTGACATTCATCTACAAATACTTATAACTAGTCATACGATATTCGACTTTTATACATTATCAGAAAAATATTCTACTTGGTAATATAAAACTAAAAACGTTTACTGTCATGAAAAAGTTTAATTTTTAATTTTTTTTGTGTTTAACCAGAAATAACCTTTATGTCTCATATCATATCAGTTACAGACTGTATAAGCCTAGGTGCTCTAAATATATCTATAATATGTAGGACGGTTACGAATCTAATTGGCTTTTTTTCTCACCTCGCGGGGCTATCGGACTTCTGCATTTACGCATCCCGATTCCCGAGAATTGTATATTATAATAACAACTTGCACCACTATGATAGCGACAATGGTAATTCGCGACTCTGCATAGCTATATTAATTCTACTTTCATTTTTTTAACATTTTTTATTATTTTCTTTCTTTCTGCCGACAGGTTCTCTCCGTACAATAAAGGACATATCCATCAGGGAGATGCTCCCGGACATCAAATACTACATGACGTACGAAGGATCGACCACTCATCCTGGCTGCTGGGAGACGACCGTGTGGATAGTGCTGAACAAACCCATTTACATAACCAGACGCGAGGCGAGTGTATATATACCCACTATATATGTATATTGTATTATGTGCGCGAGGTGGTAATGGAAACACGACGTTGCCGGGACACGATTAATTGCGGTGGCGATGTGAGGACAAGCAGACTCACATATTTTGTTACATATCCTTTTTTTCGTCAAATTCCTTCCCTCCACTACTCACTCTAACTCTTGTTTTCCCTGTAACTCTGACTCTCAATTTCTCTTCACCTCACACTTATTCCTATCCACTACGACGTGCCCCGCTAAAACTGTCGCTTTTGAATTAATGAAAAGGACCTCCTCTTGCAGTGTACGCACGACTTTGCGCGTTGGTTTTTTTATTTTTGTTTGTTTGTCATTCGAGTAAGCACGCTAGCTGCCTGCACCACCATCCGCCCACATTATATACATTCGCACGCACGAAACCCAACCTAACCCGACCGTCGTCTCGACGTTGTTTCAGATGTACCACTTAAGGAAATTATCTCAAGGTTCGGTGGAACACCCAAAAGCTCCACTGGGAAACAACTCGAGGCCGACACAGGACCTACGCGAGCGGACTGTCAGAACGAATATTAATTTCGCGCAGAGAACCGAAGCCGATCCACAGGTAAGATTGACGATCTCGAGGTTTTGAACAAATTTACGTACTCTCACACATATATTACATGACGTTATGTACATATTTACAGATTTATGATACTAACTAAAAGTCGGTCATTAAGCCAACTGAAAGCTTGTGTGTTAATCGTATTTCTAAAAAATTTAATTAAAAAAAATATATACTTTTTTTAATTGTTATTTATAAATGAAAATTTACTAATTTTTTTTATTTGAAAAATATCTATGTCTGAACAATTATTTTCAAAAAAGAAATTGCCTATTCGTTTTTTGACTTTGGTCTCTCACAAAAAAAAATAGTATAAGAAATCACTATTACACTCATTTTCGTAGGTTCCTTACTCGCAGTAAACTATGATTTCAAATTGTATTTATTAGAAGCCACGTGATATTGGTGATAGATTCAACGAATATGTGGAGATCGTTTAGGTATTTTATATCAGCCTTCAGGTATTGAATTATGCGCGGTACTAGTCAATCACATTATCTTGATTCCATAGACGCTTTACTAAACGTCTATACATCAAAATACATTCACACAAATATTTGGGATTTCAATGTGGCTTACATTTTTATACAAAAGAGTTAATGTCAGCACTGCACATTTTTCAAACTACAAATACGATCTTTGTATCAATAACACAGTGGCCCCTGTTGAAAAAAAATAACAACAAGACGTTTGGTTTAAAAATAATTTATCGTTAAGCGCGCGATTCATTGACGGCGCCGTAGCACATCCACTTTGGTAATAATTTATTATTATATCGCGTAACTTGAACACTTAACTCCGGATCATCGGTGCCACATAATAATAATAATAATAATAATAATAATAATAATAATATGCATTCGGTTGACACCGGCATACGACCGGTCTAGTGCTCTCGAGTCGCTCAGCCGAACAAAGGTCGCGCAGACAACAATAATGATTTGTCTCGCATTTAGTAATAACAATGATATGATAACGCGATGACGATTGTCATCAGCAAGTACGCCTATGTATATATAAATTATTCTCTCTCACACACGCACACGCACACACGCACACACACACACACACACACACACACACACACACACACACACACACACACACACACACATTCACACTCACACGTGCAATATATTATATTGTATAAGTAATACACTCGCTCGCCTACGACGAGATTTTGAGCGATTGAGAACGAGCGCATATAATATGATATATCTTATATAATATGATACGATATCGTGTACACAACCGAATGCCATTAGTGTTGTGGGCTTGTACGAAATCCTCGCACACACGTATAATACCGTGAGCGTGTATATAATATTATATTGTGTTATTGTGATCGGATGTCTAAAAGCTTCGGCGGCGCGTGTTGATGGCGCGCGTCGTCGAGTCGTCGGTTATCGTAGTTCCATTCAAATGCCGCCGCCGGTCTGAAATAATATTTATTTTCGTGCCACCCATATTACTGCTGTATACATATCATATCATCATATTATGCTATAATATACGGTGCGTTGATCGTATCGGCTGGCAATTCAAAAGCCATTTTCCGCGCGTACGATGAGGCGTGCAGACGTCGTCGTCTTCTCAAAGCTTTGACATATTTAGACGCGTTTCGCTAATATTCGAAATGTACGCGTCTCGTTGGTAAATTATTTTCGGTGGGCTTTTGACGATTTGTATATTTTGAATGGTTATATATATAAAAAAAAATTATTTTTATAATAACTACGCCGCCGACCCGCCATATATATTTTGATTTTTTTTTACAAAGTAGACCGCTAATATCACGTAAAACGTTTGTGTTGTAGTAGTTGGACAGTGTTCAGTACCAAATATTGTGTGACACAACCCGTTAAGTTATTTTTTAATGATATCTTAAAATAAGTTGCCAAATGCATTTTGCGCATGAAATCACACATAGCACACTAGACTAACCTTTATACCGAGACACAGAAATATCGAATGTCCAAATTTTAGATTAAAGACATCTGACGTAAAGTCAATTGGTGGCGGGGTTGGTGATAAATGTCTTACGGCTCGGTGGCGGAGCGATAACAAACAAGTACCATAATAGGTATAATAGAGAAAAGTCTACCATGAAAACATCCTTGACTTACGTTTGAATAAACCCTTCCTTGTGCTTCACAATAGTGTTGTTATATACCAGCAAACATTTCATAATATTATATACAAAATAATACAGTTCTTCAACAAATCTTTACCTAACCAAACAGATCGGTATACGTACTATTGACGTTGTGAACAAACTTTTTTCTTTTATTAAAAATTTTTGAATTTTATTACAAATGTTATGTTACATTTCTTGATTAGAATAATAAATTGTACACGCCAAGAGACAGGAACAGTGTCGTTAGACGGTTGGTTGAAGTACGTTATCGGTCCTATGCGTACAACTTAAAAAGTGAAGTATGTAAAGGGTACGTTACTTATTATATGTAAAAAAAATATTTGGGTAATCCATTTTTAAAGTGTTACGCTTGTGTGAACAATACAAATATAAACGCATAATATGTCATAGATTCCTGCTTGTCGATAAAATACGGTAAAAATATGTAAATCACAGAATATCTGAATCAGAAAATTATTATTACCGTGAAATACTGTAATTGGGAACTGGAAAAGAATAAGTTTTGGAACCGGAATCCTTTGAAAATATCGGAAACCAGAACATCATCAGAACCTATATTAAAATGATATATTAAAAACGGGAACTTCATATGGCAACATTATTTTTTTTTTTTTCATAAACCAAAAAATATATTTACAAATTACAGATTGAGGTTTAGTACAATAATTTAATAGTATGACTCACCCTAAACTAATATTTTTTTAGTTTTTTCTACACTGATTATACAATTAATTTACTATACAGTGGAGGACTGAAGCAGTTCAAGTACCTACAGCTGTCATTTTTTATTGGAATCTTGGAAATATGTGTCAGTTATTAAATATTCAAAAATTACTCTTTGCAACAAATAAGCTAGTACTAATTAATAATAAAAAATAAAAGAATACATATTTAAAAATTATATCAAAAACACATATTTTTTTTGTAAATTTTTTCTATAAATTACAATTTTAAAAATCTTATACTTATTCCAATAGGTCCATGAATTCGTAAATTCATAATAAAACATTTTTTTCTGTAAAAATGTTTTGTACCTTACGATAAGATTCGAGCCATCGTTTGTTATCATGATCTGCTATATATAAGTATATATATTCCAATAATTAGTGTATAATTAACATGATACAATATAACAATTAAAAATTATAGATTTTTTTGGAACTAATACGAAAATATACAAAGTGTTTAATAATAAAAACAGAACTTCGGTCCACATCCATTTGATGGTCCCAATTTTAATTTTAAAACTACAGGTGCCTACATGGTTGAAAATCTGTACTGGACAGCTAATATTGGTAAGTTTAGACAATGTAGTCGTATAACTGAACCACCTAGGACAATTGTTTTTCTATGATCCAAATCATAATCAAATTTTCTTTAAAGACGGACTGATACCAAAATGTATGTTTTTCTTAGAGCCAAACCGAAAAAAAAATATAAATATTACAATCCCCAAGACGTCTTGCGATGAAAACCGATGGCCGCTTACAAAAAAATAATGACAACAACGCGATATTTCAATTTTCATAATCCCACAAAACAGTGAATAATTAATACTTTAATCGTAAAGTCCTCAGCTTTGTAAAAAATAAAACACTAACAAACTTCAAACTTTAACGAGCCCTGACAACCGTAACCGTAATGAGTGCACCGTCAGTAGGCTGTCTCAGCCTTACATTAATTATTATTTATTAATATTGTTGAAGCGTAACAAATTATTACACATAGTAATATGCCTGGATTTTTGTGCTGGTAATTGTATTGTCCGAATGTTTCTGTGAAGACAAACGTTTTGCAAACTTGTGTTATACAACCGTTGAGATTTTTTTTATTGGCGGTACAGTTTTCGATGACATAAATTATCAACCTTAACTGTTTAATTAACACATAGGTTAGGTTATTGGTTTCTATAATACCTAACAATTTTTTTTATTAAAGTCTATGTTTAAAAAAAACTTTAATTTATTTTCAGTGTTGAATATATTGGTTGAAAGTTTTTTTTATGTTGTTGGTTTATTAAATAGATGGTTCTCTGTATTTTGGGCAGTGGACAATATAATATTATTGATGCGTTCAATAAACACTTAGGTTTAAAAGATTTTTTGCAAGTGTAGTGTGATGATTTGGGTTCATTAATTATTCTTGCTAATTAAGTGCGTGTAAGATTAGACTGTCTTATTTTGGATCTACTTATGACTATTTGCTCCTTCAAAATCGATTGGTATGGATATGAAAAATATTTTTTTTTTTAATGTCCGCCGCTGGTGTGTTTATTCTGATAGTAATTACACAGAATAAGTAATTATATCATAAAAAACACGATAAGAACGACGCACATACATACAAATAATAACAAATAATAACACTTCAGAATTTATTGGCAGTCAGCTGTTTCATTGCGCGATACATAACTAAGTCCCACCCTTCCGATTTCTACCGCCCCTTACGACTGCGAGGGTACATTGGTTTTTTAATATTTCAAAATTCGCAATATTTAACAAAAAAAATGAACATGCAAAGTGCACCTAAAGTCGACTGTTCGGTGGCTTATTGCTCCCGCTCGTGTAAACATTATAATAGGTATAATATAATAATATGTGAATACTGAATAATGTAGCCCACGCCCCGTTTATATTATATTATACGCAATGTAAAAATAAACCGCGAAAGTTGTTACGATATTTGATTTTTGCATATTTTTCATTATGTTTTTGCGGTGCCCTGAAGTTTAAATTTAATCACGGAGAATAATATTGTTATATCGCATTACACGAGCAAATACTTCCTCCTCTACAAAGTTAATTTAAACGTCGCGTATTTTTAGAACGAATTTATATTTTAT